GATAGAAATTTTAAATGATCTAGACATATCAGTAACTTCATTATTAGAATTTAAGGCATCAAATCGTTGAATTCATGAATTTATAAAATGATATCAGTTAGCTTTATGACATCGTACAAAAGTTTCTTAAAAACTTCCTAAACAAACTGATGATATATTAAACAATTTCTATACCTATGTAAATAATCTTTGGACCAAAAAGTCTTTTGAGTTACAAAATATTCTCAATATAGATGAAACTCCTGTTTGGTTTGACATAGCAGGGAATGTTACAATTAATGAAAAAGGTAAAAAAACAGTATATATTCGTAGAACTGGTAATGAAAAAAACTGATTCACTGTTGTATTGACATGTGCTGCAGTTTATTTTTTTTTTTCTCTCCCTCTCTCCCTTTTTTTTTTTTTTTTAGTTTACCATATATTATTTTAAACTTTACTAACTTTAAATTAGATAGAACAAAATTTCCTCCTATTTGTACTTTTAAAGGTTAATGCTTATCACATAAAGAACAAATTCCTTCTGGTATTATTGTCTGGTTTCAAAAGAATGGATGGATGGATACTAGTTTAATAACAAGATATATTGATTATCTTGAAGGTGAAAGAAATCATGAGCATAAAACCTCAGCAATGATGGTATATGATTTGTTTAGTAGATATTTGGAAGATTCAGTAAAAAAAAAATTTTGTGAGAATGGATATGATTTAGCAGTAATTCCTGGTGGCTTGACTAGTATATGCCAACCACTTGATATTGCTATAAACAAACCTTATAAAGACTATCTTTATAAAGAGTGGTATATTTGGATGTCAAAAGGTGGTGCAGGTAAAACTACTAAGGGAAATCTTAGACGTACAAGAATTAGTGATGTATATAGATAGATCAAAAATTTATAGGAAAATATTTCTACTGAAATTATTATTCGGTCTTTTGAATATTGTGGTTTATTGGGTAATTCAGATCATAATAAGGAAAATGAAGAATTAGAAGTTATTGATTTAAGTAATTAACAAATTTTTTTGTTAGTTATTCATGACCTTTTTTTTTCTATAGTATATACTGAACATAAAGGCTTTATAGCTTTGCTTTTTCTTTTTTTTCATAGAAATAATGCATTTTTATCTCATGGACAAAATCTTGATTAGATTTTTTTTTTTTAGATTTATGCTAGAATTTTTTTTTTAGATCCATACTAGAATTTATTTTTTTTAGACGCTAGGATTGTTTTTTTTTTTTTTTTAGATGTTAGAATTTTTTTTTAGATACTAGAATTTTTTTCAAATAAATATTTCATTGTGCTGGTAAGAGCCTGTTTAATATTGATTACAAATTAGATATTAATAATGTGAGAATTTGATACTTTAAGAAGATTATATTAAAAATTCAAAAATTAATTTTAAAATATTTCATGTATTGTCAAAATTCTGCTGATACAAAAAATGCTATGCAATTTATAACCTTATTTATATATTATAGATCATCTTGTTCATCTCAAATATAATCTCTTAAAAACTATCAGTACAAACTCTGCTATTATTGAGGTAATAATGTTATCTGTTATAGTATTTTGCTATGCAGTGTTAGAAAATTATGAGCATTAAAATTTTATTAGAATAATAAAAATCTTAGATTATCACTTTTAAAATGAAATTAAAGCTAAAAAGAGTAAGTATAACTTAAAGTATTATTCTTAATTTATTTATCTATTTATTCATTTTTCTAAATATCTATTTACTCACTTTATCATTTATTCTTTATTTATCTATTTATTTATTCTATTTATTTATTTATCTATCTGTTTACCTATTTTATTACTCATTTTTATTTATTTAATTAATTTACCTATCTAACTATCTATTTACTCAATTACTCTATTGCTTATTCTTTGTTTATCTGTTCATCAATCTATTTACTTATTTTATTATTTAGTCTTTATTCATTTATTTTATTTACCTATTTTATTTATATATATATTTATTCAGAAATAGTATATTATAATATTGACTATTTGAACAATATCCAATTGTCTAAATAATTTTAATTAGATATTATAAAATTTTTTATTAGACATTAAAAATATTTATTAAATATACTAGTAAATTAAAATAATTTACTATATTATAATTAAAAATTTTAACCAAAATAATAAACTAAAATAATATATAAGTATAAATATACAGTATTTATATTAAATATTATTTCTAAATTCTTAACAAGTAAAAAATTTTTTTTACTAGGTCTGATGATCTTAGTATAGTAGTTAGATTGCTAGACTACTATACAAGAGGTCTGAAGTTCAAATCTCACTATTAACAAATTTGAATAATTATCTAGAACTTTGTATCTAACTTACAGTAAACTCTGTTTATTTCTGGGGTTGTAACTCTGTAAATTATATTGCACTAATATCATTCAGATATTAGAAATATGATAAAATGTTCAGAGAGTATAATGTTATATGAATAAATCTTAATAGGATCTACAGGCAGAAGACCTGCATAGTAGAAATCCTAAGTTGATAAAATAGTACAGCTTTCAATAGTTATATTAGCTAATGCTTGATCTAGAAAAGAAACTATTATCAAAAGATGCAGATTGAGTCAGGTACATATAAATCCATTTCACAAGAAGGATCAGTAACATTAATTTGGCTTAGTAGCCAACTAGATTAGAAAGATTTGCCTCATGAAATATCTGAGAAGATAGAATATAGAAAACTAGTAGAGAGCTATGATAGAAACTGAGGTTATACAAATATCTGCAAGAGTCTAAGCTAGGTAAATTCATAAAATAAGTACGAACTGCTCTAGTAGAATTGCTTATGAGATTAATTGGAGCTCTGTGTGCTATAATATGTTGAGCAATACATATTCTGAAAGAATCTAAGCTGAGTTAGGTAAATAGATCTGCAACAAGCTAGCTAGCTTAAGCAATTAGGTATTACAATAATGTTAGTTAATTCTAGTATAGGTTAGATAAACAAAGTATTTAAATAGGTAACTCATAAGTGGGTTACAGATATAGTAGCTTATGTAAAACCAAACAGATAATCGATCTGTATGACAGACTACTTAAATTAGATGATAGCTAAAGTTGTATATGTAGCAGGTTAAATACTCTTCATGTAATTACAAACTGTAGAGAATTGTTAATAAACGACTTCATATATTAAACTAATAAAATCTGCTTAGCATAGTAAGCCACTTTTATTAAAAAAAAAAAAAAATAAAAATAAAATTTTTTTACTTAATTAATGATTATAGCTACATAATAAAGTTTAAATATTTATAAATAAATCAGTATTAGTGTCTTAAGTAAAGTTTTTTGGAAGAATAAATCACACAAATTATAAAATTTTAGCATAATTCTAATAACTTTTTATTAATAAGGTTTTGCACCTTATATTTGTATAATCAAAATATAGAATTTGTTCAAACAAATTTAAGGTGCAAAAGCTTATTTATAAAAAGTTATCTAAATTATGTTAAAATTTCAGAATTTGTGTAATATATTCTTCTAAAAAACTTTACTTAAGACATAATTATAGATTTACTTATAAATATTTTGACTTTATTTTTTTTTTTTTATGTTATTAAGGCCACTTCCTTGGCCGATTAGATTTTATTAGTTTGTTATTATGGAACTATCACATGAACAGTTTCCT